AGCAACCCCCCCATACTCCGTTTTGGGGTCCCCTGGGCCTCAGGAAGCCTCCTGGGGGGATGTTTTGGCTCCCAAGGAGCTTCCCTGGGCCCCAGGAAGGCAAAAAATAGAGCACGGGGGTAAGGGGGGGCGGCAGGGGGCTGTTGCTGTGTCTCCCCCTCCATTTTTTTGCCTTCCTGGATCTCAGGGAAGCTTCCTGGGCAAAGCAGTAAGACAGCGAGGAGGGGGATCCTGTCACAGCCGATCGTCCGGAGGGAGAAAAAAAGGAAATACCTTAAGGAGTGACTGGGCTGGGGAGAATGCAGTCAGAGAGGTCGGGCATGCACGCGATGTTGTGCATGCGCAATAAGGATGGACTGGGTGGGGAGGCTCAGGTGGAGAGGGGGTGGGGCCAATCAGGGGCACGGTTTTGCCGGTTCTCCGAACTGTGCAGAATCGTAGCAACCAGTTCTATAGAACCGGTCCGAACCGGTAGAATCCCACCCACCCCTGACTGTGATGACACCGGGCGTGACACGAAAATAACCAACTCTCAAAAATGGAATAAAGTCCCTTTAATGCCTCCAACTTGGCCCCCAATGTCCAGTTATCCTAGGCTGGATATCAAACTCTTAGAGCAGTGGCCCCCAACCTTTTTTGTGCCGCGGCCCGGTACCGGCATCACAAAATGATCCGCGGCCCGGTACCAGCATCAGCACACATGACAAGGCAAGGCGAGCTGAGCGACCGGCCAGCCAGCCGTCCCCCGCTTCTCCCTGCCACCTTCAACTCCTCCTTTGTACCTTTGTCGATGGGCTTCGCTTCGGGACGGCTTCGGGACGGTCGCTCGGCTCGCCTTGCCTTGGGTGCTGAAAGAATCCTCGCGCCTTAGTTTCGTTCGAAGCCCCCCCCCCTTCGATGAAACTAAGGCGCGAGGATTCCTTCAGGACCCAAACACCGCTTTCCAACCGGAAAAGCTCACCCGGAAGCACTTTCTCCTTAAACAAGATGGCGGCGGCCAGCAAATCGGCAGCCCGGTAGGAAATGTTCCACGGACCGGTACTGGTCCGCGGCCCGGTGGTTGGGGACCCCTGTCTTAGAGAGAACAGTCTACGGAGGGAGTAAATGTAGTCCGAACCCGAAGTAAAGTGAATTAGAAATTTAAAAAACCCAACACAAGCCACACTGAAGGAATTGATACAGCAGGCCAGGATGATTAATTGCAGACTTCTACCAGATAACGGCAGCAACCGCAGTTGGGAGGAAGCCAAAACACAGATAAGCTCTGACAGAATAATGCACGCTTTGCTTCCAGCAACTTCGCCATGCGCAGGTTGTCCTTTTAAGCAGTCCTCTCCGCTGCAGCCCATGAAGGGAATCAGGGCCCTTTCCTCCCCCATAGACCACACCACTCATGTTGCTCCCTTCTCCGTTCCTCCCTGCTTGCTCTAGGATGAAGAGGGGATGGGCCTGGGTCTTCCTCTGAAGGCCCAGCCAGACTGTGCCCTTTCCCAGTTTCCTCCACAACCTCCGGAGCCACACTCCCAACTCCCTGTCAGCTGTTCCATCTCTCCCTCGGAGTCAGACTCCAACAGGGGCATGATACCTGATTGTAGTCTTGCAGGGGGACTTTTTAATTCTACTCTTTGGGAGTGCTGGTGCTTTCACATAATCCTAAACTATTTGTTTAGCGACCGTTCAAAGTTAAAACGGCTCTGGGGAAGAAAAGGAAATCACGACCAGTTTTTCACACTTACGACCGTTGCGCAGCATCTCCAACATTCACATGATCAAAATTCAGACGCTTGGCAATGGACTCCTACTTACGACCGTCGCAGTGTCCTCGGGGTTTACGTGATTCCCTTTTTGTGACCTTCTGACAAGCAAAGTCAACGGGGAAGCCGGATTCGCTTAACAACCGTGTGACTAATTTAACAATGGCAGTGATCCACTTAGCGATGGTGTGGCCAAAAGAGTCTTTGCATGGGGCAAAAAAAAACCCCTCACTTAACGACTGTCTCACTGGAAATTTTGGGCTCAGATGTGGCCGTAAATCAAGGATTATGGAGAACGGGTGCAGGAATTGGGCATGTCTAGTTTGATTAAAAGAAGGTCTAGGGGTGACATGATAGTATCTTCCAATATTTGAGGGGCTCTAACAAAGAAGAGGGGGTCAAGCTATTCTCCAAAGCCCCTGAAGGCAGGACAAGAAGCAACGGATGGAAACTAAACCAAGGAGAGAAGCAACGTGGAACTAAGGAGGAATTTCCTGACCGTGAGAACAATTAATCAAGGGAATGATTTGACTCCAAAAGGTGTGGGCACTCCAACATCGGAGGTTTTTTTTTTAAAAAAAGAGATTGGATAACCATTCGTCTGAAATGGAATCGATCATTCTTTATTTGGGATTGCAGGATACCGTTTCCAGCTCCGTTCTCAAGGGGAGAGAGAGAGAGAGACTTTTGGCTTCATGCAAGGAAAGCAGCAGAAGCTGCAGAAGTCTTTCTTTCTCTCCCCCAAACTCTTCCAGAAATGAGTCTTTGCCAGCGCAGCCTCTTGGAGCAGGAGGCCTTGCAGGGTCCCCAAAGGCTCATTTCTGGCGGAGTTTGGGGGAGAGAAAGAAAGACTTTGGCTGCTTTCCTTGTGTGCAGCCAAAAACAGAAGAAGAAAGAAGCGGAAAGGAGCAGCCCGGTGTCCAGGCCAGGCGCATGGGACGAGTGGGGCAAATTCTCCCCCCTCTCCGCCCTTTCTCCCCTCCCCTCACTACTTCGTGCTGTTTGCAATGCGAGCGACACAAACCTTGGGTTCCCGCGCAGCTTGGATTAATTGCTTTGGGATGACATTTTCTCACGGACCACCAGTGGTCCCCGGCCCATTTGGTTGGCAACCACTGGACTAGAAGACCTCCAAGACCTCCCTTGCCAACTCTTATTCTTCTTCCCAAGATCTGAAGAAGAAACAGACAACCTAGTGGAGAAAGAGTGTGAATCAATGGAAGACAGATTTAGGTTGGTAGGGCAGCTGGACCAAACAACACCTGAGGCATCTTCATGAATGGGATGTTTTTCTCCACGCTAGCAAAGCCCATCCGTCCACTGGCCCAAGCTTCAAGGAGGACATTCTCCGTTTGAAGCCCACCAAGCAATGTTGGCTCAGCGCCCGTCGGTCAACTGGCCCTTCGTATTTTACACCTGATTTGTTTAATCCAATGTTGTTTTTTTAAGTCATGGTGCTCCCTCCGGAGTCACCAACGCAGAGTTGGCTCTTTTTTTCAAAGACAAATGGAATCTTTTCAGTTCATTCCTCTCTAAGGAGCCCATCAAAGGCATCCAACTTGGTTCTCTTCGTTCTGCTCCGGAGAACAAACCTTGTTTATTATCAAAGGCCGAGCGTTCTGTCTCTTTTATTTTCTTGCAGAGGGGGAGGGGGGAGGAATAAAATAAATCTTCACATTTGAGGCCAAGTGAACACCAGTGAAGGTGGTAGAAATCGTGTTTGCTTAGACACTGCCTCAACTGAACTGAGATCCTTGGTGCTCTCTCAGCTGGGTGGTTTTCTTGCAGACTTCTCATTACCCAATTAGGTAACATCATCAGTGGGAGGAGGAGGAGGAGGAGGAGGAGAAGGAGGAGGAGGACAACCACTGTGGGGTCCTTGGTCCTCCCTGAGCTTGGTTGTTTTCTTGAAGACATTTCATTACCCAACTAGGTAACATAATCAGTGCTAGAAGGGAGTGAGGTTGGAGGAGGAGGAAGAGGAGGACTGTGGAGTCCTTGGTGCTCTCTGAGCTGGGTGGTTTTCTTGCAGACATCTCGTTACCCAATTAGGTAACATCATCAGTGCCAGAAGGGAGTGGGAGTTGCTGTATGTTGTATGTTGACATATTAGTGCAAGGGGTCTTCAAACTTGGCAACTTTAAGACTTGTGGACTTCAACTCCCAGAATTCCTGAGCTAACATGACCGGAGGAGGAATTCTGGGAGT